CTTTTACCTCCCTCAGCCTTTTACCTTCCTCAGCCTCTACCTCCCTCAGCCTTCTCCCACCTCGGCCCTTCCTGCCCCGGAGCCTTCTCACCCCTCAGCCTTCTCCTCAGCCTTCCTCCCCTTCAGCCCGCCCTCAGCCTTTCTTCTCCCTCAGCCCTTCCCTCCCTCAGCCCTTCCTGCCCCGATCCTTCACTCTCCTCCGCCTCCGTCCTCCCTCAGCCCTTCCCGCCCTCATTCCCGCCCCTCAGCCGTCCCTCCCCTCAGCCCTCCCGCCGTGGCGTCACTTCCCTCTTTCTCCGGCAGCTCGGGCGGTGGCGGCGGGCGCGGGAGCCGTGAGGGAGCCGTGAGGGAGCCGCAGCCGCCGCCATGTCCGACTGCTCGGCGCTGCAGTTCGTGAGCCCCTACGCCTTCGAGGCCATGCAGAAGGTGGACGTGGTTCGCTTGGCCGCGCTGAGCGACCCCGAGCTGCGGCTGCTGCTGCCCTGCCTGGTGCGGATGGCGCTGTGCGCGCCCGCCGACCAGAGCCAGAGCTGGGCGCAGGACAAGAAGCTGATCCTGCGGCTGCTCTCGGGGGTCGAGGCGGTGAACTCCATCGTGGCGCTGCTGTCCGTGGACTTCCACGCGCTGGAGCAGGACGCCAGCAAGGAGCAGCAGCTCCGGTAACGCGGAGATCTGGAGGCAGCGCTGAGCGGCTTTCCCAGCGCTCACAGCTGTTGCTGCCCTTCGTGTCCCTCGATAATCTCTTAGGAAAGCCCCGGGGGTTGACAGGGTTCAGTTGTCTGTCCTGGGACCTTCTCTCCCGGCTCCAGCCCTCGCGGTGGGTGAGGGTGTGGGATGCACCGGGAGCTGCCCCGGCTGGGGAGGATCTGGGGAGGCTGTGTGGGATTGAACACACAGGTCGTGTGGATGCGCTTCCCTGACTGTTTGTGCTGCTGGGGAACGGCAGCACCCGAAATTCTGATAATCTACCCAATTAGGTTTCATGTACTGCACTTACCAACACTCCTTCCCGGTCTTCTTCGTGATAGAAGAGATCCCTTCAGAATATCGCCCTTCCTTTAAGTGGAGACATTTCTGTGTTAGCAGAAACATCTAATAGTTGTTCACTGTGTGTCAGGCACAAGCTGGGAGGTGGCAGCGGAGAAAGCATCCTGGTGTCCCAGCTGCAGCACGGGCTGACGCTGGAGTTCGAGCACAGCGATTCTCCCCGGCGGCTCCGGCTGGTGCTGAGCGAGCTCCTGGCCATCATGAATAAGGTAAACCTGTTCATATCTGCACATCTGCAGAGTTTAGGGTGGTGAAAATGCGCTCTGGAGAGGCTGATGAGATGTTTGGTTGTTTCTGGTGCTGGTGTGAGCACTCCTTAAGTCCTTACCTGCTTCATCAATCCTCCAAGTCTCAGTCTGACTGAACAGTGGCTTGTGATTAAATTCCTTGTGAACCCACCTTCCTCGAGGAAGTCTTTCTTCCTCGGTACAAGCCAAGTCTTTGCTGATGTGATACAGGCTCTGTAATATGCTGTGCTCAAATATAAGTGATTTGGTGATGTATCAGTGCAGAAATAATATTTGAAAATGAAGTTATGACTTG